GGATTTAAATAATATTCTGTATAATTTTTAACTTTATATCTTGTTTATTTAGCTTAATATAAATTTTCAAAAAGTGTTCACAATGCTTTGGTAGCCCCCTGTAGAAGAAGTAGAACCAGTTAAAATCCAATTCAATATAAATAAAAAATTAAAAGTGGAATAGTATAAAAAAGCTGAAGGCTTGTTACAAGAGAATTCACATGCCTTTACCCAAAAAATTAGTAAAAGTAGACAAACAGTAGGTTTAGATCAAACCAACTTAGTTTGCTATGAAATAAATACCAGGAATGCCTGACCAATCAAGCAAAGGCATTATAGCATGGCCCCAGATGAACAAGAATTCCTACAAGAAGAGCTAAAAAAAATAGAAGAGCAAGGTATAATAAAGGAAGTGCAAAGCTTTTGGGCTTCACTAGTGGTAATTGTATCTAAGAAAAATAATAAAAAAAAGATATGTATTAATTACTATAAGTTGAACACAGTAACCAAAAAGGATGTGTATCCTTTGCCTAATATCCAAGAAATTTTTTCAGTTTTTGATAGTGCCAAGTGGTTTTCTAGTCTTGATCTGGCAAGTGGATATTGGCAGGTAGCAGTTAGAGAAGAAGACAAGAAAAAAACTGCTTTTATAACAAAATTTGAGATATACCAATTTAATGTTATGCCATTTGGATTGTGTAATACACCATCCACGTTCTAGAGACTAATGGATTATGTGCTAGAGCCCTTTATTAATAAGTTTGTAGTGGTATATCTTGACAATATCACCATATATTCGAAGATGTTTAAGAACCATCTTTTGCATCTTTAGCAAGTCCTTGAATATTTGAAAAAGGCTAATCTAAAATATAATTCAGAAAAATGTATATTTTGCTTAAAACAAATAAAATTCTTAGGTCACGTGATTGGGCAAGAAGGAATACTATCTGATAAAAAAAAAGATAGAGAAAATTAAAAACTTCCTATACCTACCATGCTTAAACAAGTTCGTGCCTTTATAGGACTAGCATCCTATTATAAAAGGTTTATCCAAGGCTTTTCTAGAATAGCCAAACCATTAAATCAGTTATTACAAAGGAATGAGCCTTATAGATGGGACTAGAAACAACAAAAGGCATTTAATACACTTAAAAATCACCTTATAATCACGCCGATATTGCAGTACCCAGATTTTAGTAAGCCATTTTATCTCCATACAAATGCTTCGACTCTAGGTTTGGGAGCTGTTTTATCTCAATTTGATGAAAAAAATAAGGAGTATATTATTGCTTATGCAATCTGAAGCTTAAATAAGTATAAAAAGAATTATTCAATACCTAAGTTGGAATGTTTAGCTATTATTTGGGCTGTAGAAATTTCCATTAATACTTGAGTTCCAAGCTATTTTATCTTATAACAAATCATTCAGCACTCCAATGGTTAAGAACATCTAAACTTAAAGGCAAACGTGCTAGATAGATTCTAAGATTAAAACCATACAACTTTACTATAATTCATCATGCCAATAAAAGACACAATAATGCTGATGTATTATCAAGATTATATAATAAAAATGTAGAAGAAATACAACCTATATATTTTGTGGGCCTAAACAATAAAATAACAATAGATGATAAAGTATTTAGCACCCCACCTCAAAAGAAATATAAGAAGGTAAAAAAACTTTTAAAACCGAACCCACCTGAACATGCACTTTTGGGTGTATATCCATATAATCAAATAGAATTCACACCGCCGGGTATAAGGTACAATGATCAGTATTGTACCTAGTACTATATTGAGCACATAAGTGCTAGGTTGGGTAAGAAAACAAAAAGTAAACATTGGAAATACGATTGGAAAGGTCCCAATACACAATGCTGGTGTGGTGATAAACTATACTCAGCAGAGGATGATTGAGCCAAGTGCAAGTGTGATCTAAGGTTATAGATCACAATTAAAAATTATCTTATCCAAAAAGTTGCCAAAAGTTACTGGGCAACACCCAATACTGAAGATAAAGAAGAAACCATAGTAGACCCTTGGAATCAAGTATAGGAACTAATTACACAGTGGATGAATAGTTAGATGAAACTTCCATTTGTCTTGAAGACCTAGTGGTTCAAGATAATGAACCAATTGAAGAAAGTGAAGATAATTTCACAAACCAACTATATTGGTTAGAACTATTGGAAACTCTATCAAAAAGGTATTACTAGGAGTTCAATAATTACAAGGATACTTATCTTTGTAATTCAGTTTGGTAGAAAGTGCCAAACCCTGTTCAATTCGTTTAAACAAAATCTTCTTCTTTTCCGTTCCCAAATGATGTAAAACTTTGCAGGTCGGTCCCTGCTACCGTACAACCTATTTAGCAAACAGTTTTTTTTAAAAAGAAAGAAAAAAGATTTTAATAATAATTGAAAATAGAAAACAGCAAATATAAAAATATTAAAGAATTTTTAGAAAAGGCAAGTTATCCGCCTAAATTCAACTTAAAACAGAGGAAGCAACTAGAATCACAGAGCCAGTTTTATACTCTATACAACCACTTGTTGTATAAGAGAAATAGAAGAAGAAAAACCCAGAACCAATTATTAAGAGTGACCAGGACAGAGGAGGTGGACCCTATCTTATACATTATGCACACTCATCTCTTGGGTGCATATATAGGAGTCAAAAAAATGTTCAACAAAATCCACAAAAAATACTACTGGCTGCAGATGTATGAACACATTAGAGAATATGTCAGAACGTGTAATGCATGCCAGAAATGAGGAAAATATAGAACAAGAGGACCCTTACAACTCATACCTGTAGAGGCCCCATTCCACAAAATTGGAATTGACTTTGTTGGACTATTAGAAGTAATGACAAGTGGCAATCATTATATAATTGTGGCTGTGAATTATATGACAAAATGGCCTGAAGCCAAGGCCATGCCCAATGCAGATACACAGCAAATAGCTCACTTTATTTTCAATGAGATTGTTTGTCACTATGGATGCTCTACATATCTGATTTCAGATAGAGGAACATATTTTAATAATGATGTTATTAAATTCTTGATAAAGAATTTTGAAATCAAGCATATAATATTGACACCTTATCACCCACAAAGTAACAGATTGGTTGAATGCTATAACCAAACACTATGTGAAGCGTTAGTGAAATTAATCAAACAAGAGCAAGAATAGGACTCTTTAATACCCTCAGTCCTGTACATATATAAAACAAGCAAACAGGCTTCAATGAAATTCACTCTATTCTACCTTATTTATAGATATAAAGCGAGGTTTTCTAACTTTGAAGAAGAGAATGAAGTTAGTAAAAATATGGTTGATAGATTGAACACGATCTTGGAAGAAGTACCCTCTAACAGAGAGACCATGAAAGACAATATAACCAAAGCCCAAAAAAGGTATAAGTTCTATTGGAATAGAAAACTGAAAAAGGTTAGAAAAATTTTTCAGAAGAGTGACAAAGTACTATTATTTGATGTAGCTTAACAAGGATGACATACTGGAAAATTCTTACCATGATGGCTTGGCCCTTTTGTGATATATGAACATGTTACACAAGATGTGTATCAGTTACATACACTTGATAATCAAGTGTTAGATGTTCCATGAAATGCCCTCCTGCTTAAAAAGTATTACGAATGAAAATCATAGGCATAGACAATGCCTACGGAATATCTTAATGGTTTTGTTTAATATGAAAGATTTTCTGAACATATTAAGCTGAAGTTCAGCATACTAGAACAAATACTGTCTAGTTTCATCCGAGATAAGGGTAAGAAACTAATAGACAGATGGAAAGTCATAAAAATATTTATAATATTTGGCAAGATAAATACGTAAGGAATTGGAGCTATTCATTGGCTAGTCCATAATGCTTATGAACATTTATGATTGGTAATTGTTACTATCAATGTAGAATATTTATTAACAATACTATAGAATGGTTATAGTTGGTAAATATTACCGCCGCCAACCCACTAAAATACTTATTCATGGAGCTCATAGATTAGTTGGGGGGAAATTGTTACACAGAAATTTAACCGCAGTAGATAAACCCAAGACATGACCTAGATGAGGATCAAAGGATCTACCAATCCATGGAATACTAACCCTAAGTGCGTAATTGAAGCTTTCGTTCTAAATTTAAATCTTCATACTAAATAAAAGGATTAATAATTAGTTATTAATAATTAATAAATTGGATCAACTTAGTATCAAAGGTAATATTAGAGGTGTTACTTAGCTTAGTCTTTAAAACATGTATTTAAGGCCTTGATTTCGTTTCAAATTCAGATAGACTTCAATACCCTTGAGTAATAGATAGTTCGAATTCTCCATTTCTTATTTCTTTTACATTGTCTATTTTATTCTTTATCTAATAAAACCCGATTGTGTCTTCATACATAATCATTTAAAGCCTAAAATAAACATAAAGAGAAACTATTGTTATCACGTAATATCGTGATAAAGAAAAGTACCAACTGCAAGTGTGGTAGTAAAACAGAATACTACAACCTTCTCATATCTTCATATACATTAGATTGTTGCCTCTTTTATCTAAAGCCTTATTAAAATCCTCTAAGAAACATTGATAGTTTCAACGTCCCTTATTGTTTTACCAAGTCATATTGTTTAGAGTCTTTATACTCCAAACGCATCATCCCCTGAACCTTGTTTTAGAGGTGGGTTTAGTGTTAACACTGTGAACTAACTATTGGTGAAATTATAGTTGTTAGACAAAACCTCGAGGTTTCGTGCTAACGAAATGTAAAACTAAGTTTCATCTTTCGTCAATTAAAATTTTAAATAACAAAATTAACAAAAGGTGACGAAACTGATGAAGGATGATAATACTGACAAAACTAGTGAAAAGTGACAAAACAGACGAAATTGCAAAGAGTGACAAAACTATTAAAAGACGAAGATACAGTTAAATGTTGAAACTCACTAAAGATAATGTGAATAAAAAAACAAACAAAAATAGAAATTTATAAAAATTACAAGAATTATTTAAGGGTGTTAGAAATGAGTATTCTATACTGTATCAGTTTTAGTGAGAAATCACTTGGTTGTTACTTTGTAGTCTTATATTTTAATTCATTATTTGTGTATTTATGAGTACTATGGATTTTTGGCAAGGCTATTTCTAGAAATGAGCTGATGTGCATGATTCCTGTAAAGGTGGTTATTTTTCTATCAAGATTTATATATAAAAATTGTGCATTAATGCATCCACACGAACATGTGCATTCGCCTATCTCTAGTTATTTCAACCGGTCTATAATAACTCTAGCATTGCCCAAAAAAAATGAACTGGATTATTTTGTTGACTTATGTATATGTAATTTTGAATATTTATTATTGAATAAATTATGAATTTTTATTCAATGAAAATAATTTTTTTAGTGAGAATAGTCATTTTGAATATAGGTTTTATTATTTTAAGAGTTTGTCTAACAACTATACACAGGTTGAATCAATGAATAACAGGTACATATTGGGAGACAAATCATCCAATATATACCCATTATTCTACTATAAATCTGCCAAATAACTGTAGCATATCAGTAGTATACATGTCACTTTAGTTATACTGACAGCTAGATTAACCGACAATTGGTTGTATTAACATTTTTTTTAAAAAAACCTGTTATTATTATAAATTTGCTGGTTATAATGACAATTTTAAAAAGTATTAACTATAGCTAAAAAATTACTTACATTAATTATTTGTTGCTATTTATAGCAACATGTTTTTATAAACCAGCTGTCATTATAGTTGTATCAATTAAATTAAAACAATTGGAAAGTATTGCACACATGTGATTTTTTTTTTTTGATGCATTTGACTATTAGTGTCAGATATTAAACTTTATTGCATAGGTCTTATATAACAACTTGTGCTTTTTTCATTTGCTTATTAGCACAGAATTGTATATCAGACACCATGCAATAAAATAGTTACTATATAGTTATAAAATAACTAAATTTTGTATGGAGTTATATGGCCTTTAGCCATGTAATTTAACTTGAGCAAATTTAGTTTTTTTTACAATCCATACAATAACTATAACTAAATTATTATCTAGTATAATATAAATTTGGAAAAATGATTAACTAATATCTATAAAATTGTCATAAAATCAAAGAGATCTTATTCCTTAAACCATCTAGCAGGTAAATTTACCTGCTAAATTTTTTTTGATTTTGTGTAATTACATGTAACTTTACTAAGCAATTATACCCCTTTTCTAAACTAGAATTAAAATATACAATTTTGCAAATTGTCTTGTAACTTTAGATCATGTGATAATAGTATATGATATTTTTTGTAGTACAGCAATTATCAATTAATAAAAGAAAAAAAATTAAAAAAAATTATTTTCAATTATGACAAGGGTGAGTTCATCTTTGAATTTGCCCCCTTCTGAAAGTACTGAGGTATTTTTTGACAAAGAGAAAGAAGAATACATACCAGTTCTTATATCCTGCTAACATTTTTTAAACAACCCAGAATCAGACAAAGAAGAGAACAAAAACACTGAAAGTAGTAGCAATAAAGACCACAAAAAATTAAAAAGCATACATAAATTGTTGCCACTGCCCTCAAATTTTGAACCATTAGTTCACTCAAAACAATTGTATTAGGCATTTGTTAATTTGCCACCAAATTATGAAGTCAGTTTTTCAAAACTGATTAATCTTTTTTTGCTTTTTTTACAAACAATTTACTTGATAAAATTGTTCTGAACATAAATTTGTATATATTAATTAAAGGTGCTGGCCTTGCTAGAAGATAATAAAAAAATATAGACTACAAGAAGCTTATTACTTGGATTGTGCTAGTTATCTACCAGGGGCTTTTTGGGCTAATCTTGCTTAATCAGTACTAAAATAAGAACCCAAAGCTTCCCGAACACTATATTTCCAAATAAATGATGCTAAAATAGTTTGAACAAATCAAGAGGTATCTGTATATCTCTCTACCTGCAGTAGATATTAATCATTACCTTAAAAAATTAGAACCACTGCTTTCCTATATCTGAGATATCTCAAAACAATCTTATACACCAGCTTCAAACATCTTGGTAAATAAAATGATGATAAGGTTTTCTGGAAAAAGCATCTACACTATTTGTATTAAGAACAAACCAATTCTGGAGGGCTTTAAGGTGTTGTCACTTGTAAATCTGGAT